ATGGCCCCGACGGCGTGTGGCTGGAGGCGCACGGCCGCGGTGTTTGGAGTGGTTGGAAGGTTGATGGGTTTGGCTTGGTCAGGTTTGGTTGGTTTTTGCTTTGGTCTGTAGATTCCGTTCTCATTATCATATCACTTTTCAGAATCCGTGACTGGTTCAAGTATTCGAACAAACTGTCAGGAAGATCATCCAACGAATTTCCTGCTGGGCTTGCCTGCGGTTTCTTACCCCATAAAATTGTGGCGGATCCCGGTGGAAATCCTCGCACCGCGTCCGAGAGTCGTGCGCTCCGTGCGGCGCCATCCGCGAGAGGCCTGGTTGAGCTTGAGACTGGCAAGCGTGGCATGGCGGAGCAGGACTTTGCTCAACTTCGCGCGGAAGCAGAGAGAAGGCAACTGGATGGAAGTTCAAGCAGAGCGAGCAAAGTCCCAGACTGCCGAGGCTCCACTAAGCTGGAAAAGCTGGGCTTCGAGGCTGCTATATACAGCTTTCCTGATGCTTGCGTTCTTGGCGAGGGATTCATGGGTGGAGAGGGGGGAACGCTTTATCGCATCGGCTTCGCTGTTTGAACGGTTTCTGGACGGAGGGTGAAGGTCCGAACTTGAATCTCAACCGAATATTTCCAGCTTGTGTGTTCCCTGTGACCGAAAAGCCTTTGGCAACTCCCCTTGAAAGGAGCCTGTTTTGAAATATGTGTTTGCATAGGGTCAACAAAAGAATGGATAATCATAGCACAACTTGTTGGAATTGAGCACAAAAGATATGATATAGGCTTGGAGGTGGAATCGTTAGCCTATGTTCCTTTCAGCTCTAAAGACAACCTTTGCTAGGTGAGGAATGTACCTTTTCACACAAACTGGATTTAGCATATGCTACCTGTTTGAGTCACCGACAGCGTTGGTCGTGCTCTCAGCCACCCAGCTGTGAGGTGTCCTTCCTGAATAGCCACGAGACGCAGCAGAGCGCTCCGTCTGGATGTTGATCCATAAGCCCACGAAGTACCTGGAGTCGCCTGAAAAACTCGGGTCATGGCTCTTGTTTGGGTAGGTTGCCCCACTGTTGAATGGTCATGGAGACTCCAGGCACGTGCGTGTGGCGGGGGATGGGGGAACACAAATGTAATTGGTGCGCAAGGGAAACCAAGGGAAAACAGCTTCTATTCGGGGTGCATGACTTTGAGACAAAGCTTCACCAGGGGTTGATTCCTTTCCCATTCTTTTCAACCATCGGTCTTTTCCGAAAAACGGATCGCCGTTTCCTTCAGGTGTTCGATGGTTTCCTGAAAAGAAGGATCCTTGGAAAGAATGGGGAAGCCTTTCCTAGACTATGTACTACAATCTAGAAATGTGATTTTTGCTTTACTATTTTGGTTAAAGGCGATCCGGTTTGACCTGAGTTGGTGTCCATTTGCTTGTGATTCCTGGTGTTTCCAATTGGTGGTTTTAACGTCCATAGCCATGACTTGTGGTATATCATGTTCAGAGGCAGTTAGAGCAAAAGGAGGCAAGCGTTGATCCAGTTGCGCAAATTGTTGCCGCCTAGAGATAAAAAGAGCCAATGTGGAATGAAGGTCCTTTACTAGGGTATTCTGGTTTGTGGATGATAGTAACTTGCTCAGATTCATGTTCAGTTGTGGCAACCCAAGAGGTGAATTCATGCAACAAGAGTCTTCATAGTCTCTTGTTTTGGAAAGGACACAGCTATGGCAAGCCAATTTTCCCACAAACCATGGGGGCAACACCCAAGTTTGCCCCGTTGCTCTTGGGGAAGCAAGCGTCGATGGTAACTCATTCATGTTATTGACCAGAGGCGTCCTTCAGCAAAAATGGCAACTGGCAGGTGTTGATCCACGTTCAGACATGGCAACTGGCAATATTAGTGACCTGTTAGCTTGGGCGGAGCATGCGTCCTGGTACAGATTCTTTGGTTGTGAGCGGGCTATTGGGAGGATGTCGTTGCCTAAGACAAAGGGTTGGGGCAGTGTTGGCTGCCAAGTCAGGCATGTAACACACAGCAGGGACCCTGATATGTGCCATGGTCAAATCGCTCTATTGTTGCAAAAGGGGGTTCATGTATTTTGTGTGAGGACGTTAGTTAGCCAATCATTTCAAAGGTTTCAGACCACTTGCTGATCCCGAGTTCGAAAGGGTCAGTTGGGGGTAAGCGAGGACCACAACTCACGTGTCGAGGGGCTCATGAGATCTTTTTGGCTCAGGTGGGGGCTGGGAACAAGGCAGACCACTTGACAAGGTTTGCCAAGGATTGTTCAACGCTTGCCATCTCACGCGTTTGATCCGAGAGGAGAAGCTGGAAAGCCAGCGGAACAATTAACGGAACCGTCGTAAACAAATCCACGGCCGAAGTGCAAGCTACTAAGTTTGAGGTTGATCTTTGACGCCATGCTTTGACGTGCTGGATTCGTTTGCACCATGTCCCCCGGACGATCATGGAACTCCAAAACCGTCCTGTTGCAATGGAATCTCGTGGGCGATTCTTTGTGCTCCATCTTAGTTTGGGCATGAGGAAGCACGCCTTCAGGGCCTTCAGCTCTTTCAAGAGGTTGGCCGTTGGCCGCGCACGTCCGACTCGACCCGACTCCTTCGAACCCCAAGCTGGGGCTGGCCTTCGGCGCTGGGCCGCGCTGGGCCTCAAGGCACCCACCGACTCCGAGCCAAACTCCGGCCAAAAGTGGCCAGGCCAGGGGAAGGCGAGCCATCGGCATGCGATTCCTGCGGCTCGTGAGCAGCACGAGCTCAACGAATTGTGCGCTCGTTCTGGCAAAAAAAATAGGAATTGTTGTTTTGACTCGATGCTTCTGTGTATCGTTTCATGAGGCTGATACGTTTGGCAAAGTCCGCCAAGCAGAAGCATGGGTTTCATCCGTTCGGCGCCTATGGGTTTCACATGCAGGTGATTGATTTGGGTGGCAAAGTCCGTTGCTGTTCAGAATTTACAACCGGTGTCATTCGGACAAGGTCTATGGTTGATGTTTTCCTAACTTGTTTGGTTTATCCTTTCGCTTGTTTGCTTTGTTTAAGCAGGCTTGCGCCACGGTTATTTGCTCCCTTTTGTCGAAGTCTGTCATTGTTGTCCATTTGCATGCGTCTCTTGTTTTGGCAAAGTCTTTTGTTTGTGTATGACTTGCATGCCTCTCTGGCTCTTCTGGCACAGTTCGTGGCTATTTGTCACTGCTCTTTTGTTTGATCCTGCTGATATGTCACGCCCCATTTGTTTAAGCCCCCTCTGCCGCACCTCCTCCGCAGAAAACGGCACCCGCCACGCCCCTTCAGCACAAGCCAAAGAACGCGGTTGCCTCCATTGGTTTCCTTGGTTTCCTTCTGGTTTCCTTCAAAACCCGAAAGAGAGCTCCCTTTACCTCAAAATACCAACTGAAAAATGGGTATTCCAACCCAAAAGATTATGGTTGGCACATTCCCTGTGTGGGTCTTTCGGGTCAACGTCAGAGACAAGGCGAAGTCGGCCGAGGTTACAAGACCCCGGCGCGGTGTTCAAAGCCTTGGAAGTCGGACATGGTGGGCCGCCCTATCCTGGCGACTCGGTTCAGACTCATGGGTCATGATGGGGAGCTGATGGAAACGGATGGGGGATGCATTTGGGTCTGACTCATGGGGCAATTTCTATGGTTTGGCGGTTGGCGGCCTCTACAGGAGCTTGGACGAACTGTTGGTCTTTGTTTTTGTTTGTGCTTCTCGGGGGTCAACACCTCCTGCTATGCTCGATCCTCCAAGTTAGTAGGTTGACAACCTTGAGAACCCACTGATGTCTGAGTTAGCTCCACTTAGGGAGGCTTATACGTGGGTATAGCCCAGGTTGCCAACAACTTACTAACTTTGAAGAACACCGACGTGGTCATTGATATTGGTTGACCTCACCCTGGTATTCGTGTTTCAACAACAGAGTTGCAAACACAGACCCTTTCCTTTAACCCGTTGTTTTGCTTTTCGCTGCGTAAGACGAGAAACACAGCAATCTGCAGGAGGCTTTCCAGTTGTGTTGCCTTTGTTCTCTTTTTTGGGGAGAGAGGTTCCCTCAAAGCCTACTCACAACAGAAGAACAGGTCCCTTTATTCAATGTTCACTGGGCAAGTGAGTCACTTTGCAAAGCTCAACCGGATCGTCGGATCTGACGAAGTTGGATTGGGTGACCCATTTTGACAAACTGCGTTTGGCGAATCGATCTTGGTTTGGTATTGGACCAGGCTCCTCCAAACTTGCTTTGCCTGTCAGGGTAGACTCAGCTGGACCATAATCAGAAAAACGACACATGTTCGGGTACTTGCGCAACAATCATGGAAGCTGAGAGGAAGGTCCGGACAGAATTCGGGATCCAGGGGGTTTCACCGCCCCGAATCCCTTTCTCTTCAAAACAAGCCAAAAAGACTGGTACCTTCAAAAACGACACATTGACATCCTCATGTGTCCCAGCTTCCAGTTTGAGGCCATGGATCTTAGTCCGTTGCAGAGGACATGGCGGTGCAGTTGTTCCAACTTGTACCCGCAGAAGGTGATACATGGTGAAGGAAATGGGGGCGTGCTTGGATGTCCAACCAAACTTAGTAGGTTACAACAAACGATGCAACTGGGGTAACTGGGGTTAGTTGGCTTAGATGCTTGTGACCTACGTACTAAGGTGGAACAACCTAGTGGTCTGTTTCAGGGTAGCCTTTCTAGCTTGGTAAGGGGAGACCAAAGTGAAACTCACCCATTTCTGAGCTCCAAATCCCAATCTGGACGAGCCATACCCCAATGACTGGCAAACGTATTCTCAGTTACACTTTAAACGGAAGCCAGCAGCGCTCTGCTGGATTGTTCCTTTCGACACCAACAAAACGATGCCAAGGTCCAGGTGTTTTGGTCGGGGTTGCCCTGAAGTTTAGTTCCCCCCCAAAAAAACAAACCCACCAACATGTGTGCGTGCGTGTGAGTGTGTTTGTGTTTGTGTTTGTGTGGTGTTGTTCTTTTTTTGCCCTGTTGGTGTTTTCCCTGTTCAAGGTCTCTCTAATGCAGACCCCTCCGTGGAGAAGCCATACCCACCCCTCGTTTTGGCCCTTGAAGACCCCAAAAGAAGTTGGGCCCCTTAATCTAAAGGCTTCTAAATGGCTAGCAACCATGTGGGCAACCAACTCAGCATTTTTTGTTCTGTTCCTAGCAAACAAAGATCAAGATGACCAGCCACTTCCCTGACGTACTTGGATGTTCAACCTACTCAGTAATTAGGTTACAACCAAGGTTACTGAGGCAACTGGGATTAGCTGGCTTGTAACCACGGTTCTATCCCACTAAGCAGGTATATCCAAGTACTCAATCGAGTTGCATGCCCGAGGGCATCTAAGGAATCCACCGACATGCTGCTGACCCGGGCCATCCGCGTCGGCCACCCGAGGAGAGGAGGGCATCTTCGAGGTCCGTTTGGGGAACCCCCCAAAGCCGGTGCTCTTTTCCATTTTTGTAGGGGTTGATTCCCATTCTTTTCAACCAGCGTTCTTTCCAAAAACCCGCTGTTTTCCCTGGGTTTCCGGATATTTTCTAGAAAGGAGGATCGCTGGAAAGAATGGGGAAGGTACTTTTTTTGGGGCAGAATCCTTTAAATGGGTGTAAACTGTCCTATGGTGGACGTCATTCATTTCGGTGGGGATTCCTGTCCGCCAGCCACTTTTGAACGGGTTTCCCCCAAAAAAGAAAAACTAGAAATAGATCACAGGCATTTGACTCACAGCTTGGTTGATGGTTGGATTGGTTGGTGGGTTCAGCGGCTTCCACCCGAATCCTGTTTCTGTGTTTTATGGGTTCTCTTTCGTTTCATGTTTCATGTTGAGCCTCGCTGCCAGAAAAAGTTGAGGCATTGAAGGTGCACTTAGCTGTCGGGTTTCCAGCTCGATTCGGAGATGTAATTTGAGCTTGCCATGTTCCTTTGCTTGTTTTGCTTGGGGCTGAATTCGTATGTCAGGTTTGGGAATCATTGTCACATATGCAGATCGGCGCTTTGTGCATGTTGTTTTTGGGGTGGGCGAGTGCGGGGTGGGGGGCTAGCAATCCCTGGCCTCAGGATCTGTGAGTTGAACTCCAAAATGAAATCCCAGACCTTGGTATGGAGGCTTATTGACATCAGCCTTGCGCTGCCGGACCTTTCAAAAGGGGTTTTTGTGGTGGCGTGGGGTTTGGAGAGGCTGAACTTTACATGAAAGACCCAATCAGATGACATGATCCGATGCCACCGTGGTCCAAGAAGTCACGTTGAAATTCTTGGGAAATCCAGTTGGCTTTGAGGATCTCTGAGAAAACCTGCTGAGATCAGCCGGCAATGTTGAGCTCTTATTTTGAGACACCTCAACCAGCCAGGGCTTTGTTCGACTAGCCGGACTCACCAATGTTTCGATGTTCATTGCAGGGATCGCATGTTGTGACCAAATTCACATGGTGCAAGTCCTTGTTCGCTCCGAAATAGTTTTGGCTAGCGTAGAAACTCCTCTTTGGATATGAGCGATAGTCGACCATGCCATGGGACCGTGTGAACTTCAGTTTGAAACCGCCCGATGGTGCTTTCTCCCGCTTCCTCAAACATAGTCGGTTTTAAATCTCCCTGGGGTCGAGATGGAAGGGAGTGGTGTGTGTGTGTGTACGTTTGTTGCACTCGTTCTGCGTTTTCAGCCAGTACAACAAGGAAAAAGATCCAAATTGCCTCCGTTTGTTGGTTTGGGCGCTATCAGAAGTTGCCCCTGCAACCGGAGGTTCTGAGTCTTTTCTTGTGGGTGGGGTTCCCTTCCTCTATGATGGGGAAAGTTGTTTATTTACATCATCGGGTCTTCTGGGCGAGGAAGTCGCAAATTGCTTCCGATTGCAAAACTGGATGATGGGATTTGAGCTAGTCTCAGAGGGATCTTTTTGTCTATTCATCTTGGCCCCAAAAGGGATGTTTTCAGATCCAACACCTTCCAGGTGAAAGTCCCAGTGGAGGGTCCTTTCTGATACTTAGGGCTCTTGGTTTCCCTTGGAAGCACCCCCCTCGCATGAGGATTGCACCTAGGATGGGGTGGCTTTTCCATTCCAGGAAGTCTCCGTTCCAAACTTCCAAACAAAACCCAGAGAAAGCAGATGTGGAGGTTGATCAATCTTCCAGGCCCCCAAACGACCACGGACAACTTGTCCTGTTTACTGAGAAGATCAGCTTCCTCATGGTCATTCCATGTTCATCGAACCTTTTTATCCCAGGCTTCGACTCACGCTTCCTTCCAGGAACGGCATGCTGGATCCAAAGAGTCGCTTTGGCAGCGATTCTGGCTTGAAAGGGATGTTGAGATAGGTTGTGATTTGAATGCTGTATATGTCGTATTCATGTGTGGGTGTGTCTTTTTATAGGAGACCCCCCAAAGAATAAATACAAACAACAAGCAAAATGGTGGTTGTCCCAAAATGGTTGGCTGCGACAAAAACCCACATATAAGTGTACTCTTGTTTGCCGGCTGTTGGGTGAAAAACTCTGCGGGACAGCCCTCCGCCTGATCCTATCACCAAATGTGAAAGGTCTTGATATATCTTTCTATGGGTGTGTTTGTTCTCAGGGAACCCACAAAAGGGGCGGCCGCCCTTTTGGTTTCCCTTTTAAAACCACCAACAAATCGGTACCCTAAAACACACACACACACACCCATACGCATGTCCAGGGTCAAGTGAAGCCTTAGTTGGAAGGCCTAAACGTTTGGGGGAGTCTTTTTGGCGGATTTGTGGGGCCCTTGATTGCGGGCGCACTGCACTGCAGTGGCTCAGAGGTTCTTTTTTCACCTGGTGGGGGTTCTCTTGAAGCCGAAGGGACGGGTCCCAAATCTGCTCGAGAGGGCTGAACATTTAAGACTTGGACTACCTGTGACGGTTCCAACGACACATCCTGCGCTGGATCCAACTTGTGGTCAAAACTACTAGGTTCCCCAGTAGTGCCCTTCTACCCTTTTTTTGGGGAGGCTGTCCCCTACTAAAATAGACTACAGAAAAAAGGGTACCCTTATTCTAACCTCTCCACTGGAGGACCTAGACTATATTTGACTTTGCACCCCCAAAACAAAACATGGCGGCGCAAAGGGGTCCTCACGGGCTCGAGTCCCTTGCGCAACCCTTCGAACCAAACTTGCCGAGTCTTCGTGGGAAAAGGTTAGGGGTTGACTCGATTTTGGCGCGTGTGTTGTTGAGGGTACCCTTTTCAGGTTGCTTTGCAGTGAAACTAAGTATCAAAACACATGTTTGTTGGGTCCAAATCCCGATGTTGACTATTTAATGGACCAGAATATCCAGAATCCGACGAACAGAGTTCTGTCGTGCAGATTTGGCCTTCAAATAGGGCACCACCACAACTGATGTTTTTTCCCGTTAGTTGTCCTTCAACACCACCCCACCACCCGCAAAACAGGGTTCCCCACCATTCCAAAAAGGGGTTCGCAGCGAACGATTCGCTAGGCTCCTTTGTGATCCCAAAGAAGTGTGCCCGACCTGCCGCTCGGCTTACGGCTTGCGGCTTGTCGAAGGCCGTCGAGTACATGGCGCTAGGGTTTATTTGTGTCCAGGGCACTGTCAGGTGGTTCTTGTCTGTTTTTTGGTGTATATCTTCAATCTTGATACTAAATAATACATACAACCAACAAATGCCTGAAGGGCCCTTCAGAAGATGCGCCCCCGAGTTCCAGGTTCATCCCTTGGCGTTGGGGATCTCCGTTGTTTGATCGGGGAAGTGGCGAAATCGAGCTTGGGCCACCGGATGGAGTTGAAGCCTTCGCACAGCCCCATGCTCTTTTCATTGCTTTTATTGGTTTACATACTGTTTCTTGCGGCGCGCCAAACAACTGCCTGTGTTTTTCGTTGTCTGCGTTTCGACGGGCATTGATGAATCATAGGCTCGCATTGTGTGATGGCGACACAGGACAAGTGGGTAAACTCACACTGACGCCCTGTTCATGTTGGTTCCCCTTTGACGGATTTCTATTTATTCAGCAAGAAGGTTATATCTAGTCATTCATCGATCCATACTGTGGATGGACGAAATTCTGCACCAACCTCGAAACCATGGAAAACCATTCTTTGTTAGTATTTACAGGGAATCATCATTCCATGCATTCTTTGGTGGTGCAGGATTTCCTCCCACAGTAGGGCTGATACCGGAGCCTCTTGTTTTTTGGGTGCAACAGGCAGCCTTTGATAATTTAACCCATCTTGAGAGGCTATCCATCCTCGAACCACTCCCAAGTGGTGTACAGCTTATGCTGGGTTTCTCACCCTTAGATAGGTGTCATAGATAGCCCCATTTTCCTCTGGGTACTGGAAAACCATGATAGAATATGTTTGGACCATAGGATACCCGCTGGTGCATTTTGATGTTGTTTCCGCTTGCTGCTCAATTGAACGTTCGGGCGCCCAGTGGAGATCCGTGGGTTTGTGGCTGGTGAGTTTCAAACTCGGCCCAGGATACAAAGCTGTTCCCCTGAAGCCTCTTTGCCTCTGACCCAACTTCTGATCTTCAGGTTTGCCAGTGGGAACAGTCGCGGCACCTCGCAGAAGTGAGTACGGTGCTTAATGGCGCCCCCTCCCCCCAATCGCAGATGTTCCTTGCACCATCGGTACGTTAGTCAGTCACTTAACATAGATGAGCAAGGGGTTCCCAAACTTAGCCCAAGAGCCCATTCAAGCAGTAGGAGTAGAAGTGTTTTTTGGAATGTGATTTTCTTGGTGGCACCCCTGCGTCTCTTTGGAGCGGGCTACTAGTCCCCTGTATGTAGATGACACTAGCAGCCCTTGGTGGCATGCTCAAGTTAGCCCCAAAAGGTGGCTTGGAGTTTGAGCCAAAACACCAACCCAAAAACCACCGACTAAACCTAAGTATGTGTTTCTTGATGCCTACACGCACATGAGCAACTGTCAATCTCACATTGTCTTGCAAGGGTACTGCTTTTGGGCGGTCTCCTTTCAATTCTTGTTTGTACTGTTGTTGGGTATTGAAAATCCAGAAGCCCTTTTAAGGACCCTTCTAAGAAGGTTCCTTCCAATGTTTGTGCTGGCTACCTGGACCCTAAAACTGCCTAAAAAAAGAGTCATTTGGGGTTGCAATCACCTTTGTTTTCAGTTGGTATTTTGTGGGTCCAGGTAAGCTCACTTCCTTCAAGCTTTTTGGGCCTGGGCCATTTTAGTGACAAACAACAAGTTCGGATTTTTTTGGCCCTTCAACTCAGGAAGTGAGTAAATGGACGATTTCCGACTCGAGGTGCCAAAGATTTTGCACTTCATCTGGCTCTGCTCACCCCTCTCAGATGTCAGGGCGGACCACGTGCGCGGCTTCGCCTTTTGGCGCGGGGGAGAAATTCGGGGGTCATTTTGAGTGTGTCTTGCTTTGGGGGGAGCCCAGACAAATGCGAGCGAGGATTTGAAGGGCAACGCAACTAACACTCACCTTAGGAGGTCTTGTATGTTACACGCCATCATCTCAGGGACTTGTTCAACAGGTTCTAATACACGGTTGCAGCTTGCATAAAAGGATCAGCATTCGTGTAGCCTGTGTAGCATCTGAAAGGAACTCATTTGCTAGACCCCAATGAACGGGTCATCCAATTATCACACTTAAACCCGGTGATGCCGCTGTTTGCTTTCAAATCAGACAAAGCGTGCCCTAGTTTCCCATGGCTGGAGTTCTAGGCAAACAGGTAGGATGAGTCAGGTAAGTGGTTAGCATCCATGGTTCTAGCCGACTTAATCTACTTACAAAATGATAGATGACGCACAACCATGGATAGCAACCACTTTATATGGTTTCCGAATGCCCTCCCCGATATGAGGGTAGGTCAAACTTTCCGGTTCTCTATAATTGATTTGGAAGGGATATCCCATAAAGACTGGGGACGCCGACTAATTGTCCATGTACTGCCCCCAAAAGCCGATCCATTGCTCTAGCTAGATTTCGAGACTTTCTGGCAGGGCTCGTGTAAGAAAGGGGTACCTGCCTGCGGAGTTAAGAGTTATCGTATCTTAACAGGATCATCACCAGATGACTAGCACAGATAGAGGAGAGAATGTCAGCTGATTACTTCAGCTTCTCCATTTGGGGTGCCTTCCTGCCATTACTTTAAGGGAGTGAAGCACGCAAAGAATTCGTCAATGCGAGCAATTGGTTTGGCTCCATTGCGTTTGAAGTAGCTACGTGTGGAGAGAACACGGCCGGTGTTTTTTTGCTGAGCCGAGCTGGGCTTCCAACAAAAAGTGTCTCAATTGCGTACCTTGTTCTTGACCCCGACACCAAATGATTGCTTCCTTTTTCCATCGGACCTCTGCAGGGTTTCCCTTCAAGGCCTTCAAAATCAACCCAACAACGATTTGGTGCCCTTTATGGACATCCACGGGTCCAGGTTAAAGTGAGGGGGTCGTTGGTTCAACCGACACCTTCGCGTTGGTTCCGATGGCAGGGCGTTCTATGCAGCCAAGGAGCCCGTAGGTTTGAACCCATGAAACGGCTCCAACCTTAGCCATTGGCTTATCGTCAAAAGCGCAAATATGTTCATATGACACGACGGGTGGCCACCTCCCACCTCTGCCCTCTTTGCAACATGCGCGCCTCGGAAGGGGCCAAATTCAGTTCGAAAGACAGGTGTGCCTTAGTGCTGTTCAACATCGTTTCTGGTGAAATTGGGTGTGTCTTGCTAGGATTGGGACCCCCCCCAAAGCAAAAGGAAAGAAGAAGTGTTCAGTTCAAGAGAGGCAAGTCACAAGTGCGGTGAGCTTGCTTAGCACCAGGTGCTGATAGTCACATCCCACGGGTTTGCGGGCTGAGCCCTCTCGACTTCAACCGGGCTCGTAAACGTGACCATGTTTGGTGGTTATCGGCATCACTTGTTGGAGGGACATGAAATTGAACTGTTAGAGTCAACATAATGTTGACCCCGGATTAATAAACCCCTGTTTAGTAATAGGGGGGTTTCCCTGGGTTTAGTGGGGGAACTCCCCCTATTAATAAACCGGGGTTTATTAATCCGGGGTCAACATTGTGTTGTTTGAGGGATTTGCCTTTGGCCATATCGCCTTTGGAGGGAGCAAGTCTCCATGCATATTTTTTCACCAGCTGCGGGGTGATCTGGAGGGTTTTGCTCACCTTAGGCGCTGAACAACCCGCACTTCCGGGTCTTCTATTGGTCCGACGCGGAGTGATTCGGCGATGCGTTCGGGTCGACGGGTTTGGTTCGGCTCCATGGCGGGTTTTTGGTGTATCCTTAGCCTGTCAGGCCTTCCTGAAACAAGTTGTTTGTGTCCAATGAAACCTGCAAAAGGTTAGACTCAAAAGCGCTGAAACTCTCCATCTAAACGCTAAACATGCAAACTTAAACCTAAAAGCTTTAGATCGACACTAAACCTAAACCCTAAAAACAAATATTCAACCCTAAACTAGAACCGTACACATTAAAGTTAAGATCGAACAACACACCCTAAGCACCTCAAACCCCCACCCCAAAACCTAGTCCTAAGCCCTAAGCCACAGAACAAATCCTGAGCGGAACGGGGTGGCTTTGGAAAGCAAGGCTTTATTAATCCGGACTTGCCAGTCTTTAGCCCATGGGTATACCCTCTCACCACAGAACCAGAAATTGATGGTACTCCTAGGTACCTTCGATCTTCTTTCCGAAGGGTAAGCCAGCGGTAAGTCCCGGTGCTTGTTTGCCTGACCGTACTGAAAAACGGGGGAGGCCTTCCCCGTTGAGTTTTCGGAGACAGGGTTCCTCTGAAGCCTCTCCGGATTCGGAAGCTTAACAACATAAATTCACGGGCACCACTTACCTGGCGTTCCGAATCGATGGGGGCCAGTAGCACCAGCGTGCATTCCTAGAATGAGAGTCTCCCTTGAGAAAAAGCATGTCGAGATTGGTAGATGTTACTTTTCGCAAGCGGCATGGAAACATGCTCAAGCTGGCATGCAGAAAGGATGGCACTGGTATCTTTGCTGAGCATATGTTGTCTCTAAGAGAGGCTTCAAATATGTAAATTATAGCTTGATCTTAAAAGGTCGTTTCAGCGACACAATATGTTCATAAGATTACCTAAACATGCAAGGATGGCTCCTGTCTGCAAAATTTCTGATATGGCGCACGAGAGCTTCAACTATACTTGTCAAAATGGTTGTCGCAGAAGCTGCACCTGTAAGGATGACTCGTCTTTGCAGAACATGTTGTGTGAGATAGCTTGAACTGTGGCAACTCTGATTTGGGGACTTGCAACAGTCATAGACACCAGCTACAGGAAATTCTACAGGAAGTTAGCCAAATACCACCAAAATCGGAGACGTCCCATAGAATTCCTATAGTTGGTTTCTTGGAAACAGCATATGTGTGTTTTTGTCCCAATCAACATCTTTTCGCCATGGTTGAAGTTCCCAAGTTTCCTTCCTGAGCGCCGGGGGCTACTCGCCACTCATGAGGCCAAGGGCCCCTCTCTCATGAACCCCCAGTAAATCCAGCTACCCCTGTGCAACCAGAAGCCAGAAACCATCGTATAAAGACCTAGAGGTAAAATTCCTGGTTTCCTGCGTGGCAAATGGATCCTCTGGCGAACATAGCTGACGGACATGTTTCCTGCACCTACGGACAAAACCCTACAAAATTGGGACGAACCACCTACCAACGGCAAGTACTGGCTACCCCTTTTTCCGGCAGAAAGGGTACCTATACTTGTCTGCAAAAAAACGAAGAAAGGAACCAACAACAACAGACTTCCCCCCCCCCAGACTCCCTAGATTGGGCCCAGGATCACTGGGACCCAGTAGATAGGCCAGGATTTGAGTCGCCTTTACTTGTTGGTTTCCCCTAGTCTCTGGCCCTTATATGTAAAGTTCGAGGCTGTCCATTTTCTTAAACAGCTGCCTTGAAGTTGTATGTGATTCGATGCATTTTACAAGCTCGTGAGCTTGGCTAGTGTTTGCTGCTTGGGCATTTGCGTAAACAGCACCATCGTGGCAAGCTTCTTGCGCTATTGATCATGCAGGAATTGAAGTGGTTGCTAAAAGCAGTGATAGCTAAAAGAATATCTGCAACTAGCAACAACATGAATTGCTGACCTTTAATGCAGGAGCACATGTGGCAACAATGGGCTTGGTTGCACCGGGGCTACGTTCCAAGAGCAGATTCTATGCATGTTGGTTGTGGGCCCGTTTGAGTGTAGTGCCTGTGGCTTTCGCATACAACTACATCTGCTGAAGGTTAGGCCAATGTGCAGCAGTGCCATCAGCCTGCTATGTTGCCATTGGTTAGCACGGAAAGTTTAGCTAGCACCAAAAAAGGAGACCTCACTTCAGCGAAACCTGTCTTGCTCCATCAAAAACAGTGTTTTCACGTCGCGCAGAAAATTTATATGTTCCATCGTTTCTTGTTTTTGGACCACCTTTTTGCGGTTGACCCTAACATATCTACGAACTGTTTTGGCGACCGATGGAAGCCGCAAGTAGAATAAGTTATTCTCTTTCCCCCTGCCATACCAGCTGGTAAGCACAGGATCTAGAGAGCCTATCCCTGATCATGTTACCCGCTGGCAGGTCCACCCACATCTCCTGATCTACTTTTAGTATGACTAGTGGTCTGCAAGTACTTCAGCATATCGAGGGAGAGTATGAGCTACCAGCAATCCGTGGTCAATGGCAAGGTTCAATCCTCTAGCTAGCAGCTTGGCAGCCTATGGTAGGTGCATGTCTTTCACAAGGATGCGGGGGAAGGATCCTCATCACCACAACTTGCAGAGGCCTTCATTCCACTAGCCCCTTGTGAGCTACAGGCATGCAAGGTGTGAAATCCTAGACGCTGGTTTTAGCAAATATTTCGATGACCCAAAAAAAGACCTATGGTTGGTGGAGTCTTGAAGCTGGGATGGTGGTAGGAACGTCGGGCCCCTCACTCCCACATGATGGGGAGCTTTCATCAAGATCTGTCAAACAGGGAGAAGCTGCTCTTCCGGCCAGTCCTTGAACTGTCCATACGAACTGCTGCCAGTAAGTTTTAAAAAGGCAGGCAAGCCCACAATCCATTCGACAAGGGAGGGGTAAAAGTTCGGGCATGACTGACAATATTGGTTCCTAACCCAGGTCTTGTTGGAGTCAGCCCGTAGAAGTTTGCTACATCGATGTCAAGCACCCTCTGGACAAAAAGCGGCGCCTTCAGCACTAGGTCACACACGCGCACCATCGATCTCTAGAAGGTCAAAATCCCGAACAACACCAACAACTCAGCAAAAAACTCTTTTCCTTGGCCCGCAAATATTTAGAATGGGGGGTGTGGGGTATTCAAGAGCTAAACTAAGTCATGATCATGGGGTATTAAAGGGCGTTGTTATTGTTGTGCGTGAATCTGTGTTATGGCTAGTCTTTGGTGACCGTAGCCTCTTAGAACTTTTTTTGGACGAAACACATACGACTTTTCCCTTATCCCACAAAGGTAGTCACCTTTTGCGCAGGGGGCTTGGCAAGAGCAACCCAGGCTTCTGTTACCTTCCATGTTCTAGCCCGGATCCAAGATGTCAGGAGATCCCAGAAAGCGCCCGGCACTTGTTGGACGCGGCAGCGGACCGCCCGGCCGGGCCCATTGAGATCAAGGAGAGGCTTGGTGGGACTCGTCCTGTTCGATGCCTTTACGGGGAATCCAGACCGAACACTTTTGGGCCATTTTTGTGCTGTTTTGATGTTGAGGTTGTTTGCTGAAGCCAACAGAAAAAAACCACGATTTGTTGGGGTACACCAAAAATGGGGGGAGAAAGCATGTGTGAAAACCCCACACCTCCAGAAACGTGTTTCGTTTATCCTGGTTGCTCGAGGGTTTTCTCCTTCAAAATCAACTAAACAACTCTCAGTTCCGGGGGGGGGGTCTGGGAATGGTCACTTCCAGTTGCTAACATGAATATGTTTTATGTTCCTTGTGGGTTGTAGCGTTGGAATCTATCCCTGATGCAAACATGTTCTCATTTTGTCAAATCAAATTGTTTTGGCACAAGTTGTGCGGTTTTTGCATTTTTAAACAAGCAATCCGCTAAGGGGGCGACCCCTAAAATTCTGAATCCGTTTACAGTTAGGTTTGCTCTGGCACTAGGGGTTGGACTACACCCTTGTTAAAGCAGGCTTCTATATATATATATATATGGACCTTATGATCCGCGGGCTTGGACGTTTAAGCAAAAAATGCCCGCAGTCCGCTCCAGGACGCCTATGCAGAGGCGCTGCACTCGGTCCTGGTGTTCGTTCGGCAGACTTTCGGGACCTCGGGCCATGAAACCTTCCCAATGTTTAGGAGCCCTTTGACCCAAATATACAGGCCTTTGACCCCCAGAAACCTCGAATAATAGGATCTTGGGGCTTTGAGATGTTGTTGGTTGCATTGAACTCATGGGCTCGGCGGACTTTTGGTTCAAATGGTCTCTAGAAAAAGGATGCGATCGCAGGGCAGACCAAAATATGGGACGGAGGCGGAAGATATCTTCTTTTCTGTGTGCAGGGTTGTTCACGGGCGCCCCGCTATTGTCAACCAAGTGCCTGGAGCCGGCAAGGCAATCAAGCGTCTCCCGCTGCCTGCCCGATTTTCCCGCCAAGCTGGCGGGGTTGCTTGCTAAGGTTGTCATGATTTTTCACTCGGGTCACCGGTGGTTGTCGGTTGTCGTCCCCTTTTTTACTGGTTATAACCTGCTCACCTTAACCAACACTCTTGAGCTGGCGGTGCTGTTTTGTCTTCCAGAAGTTCATACCCCGAGGGTTCCAAACATCATTTTGTTTCTAGACGGTTCACCTTTCGTGTCTGCAACCATTCCTTTGGTGTCGGACTCATGGCGAAGGCTGAGACCTTCCAGTCTTGGAACCTCATCCAGTACCAGGACAAGTTCCACTCCAACAACAAGAACCCAGGCGCAGCCAAAAGGGTCGCTCGCCAGGAGACGCGAGAAGTTCTTCTTCTTTGGGCGTGTGTTTGTTAAAGGTTCAAACAAACGACCTGTCCACGAATGGATCCACCAATTGTGTCCCAATCATAGCCCAACTCGCCTTCCCGCCCTCGATGGGGGCCGATTTGCCACTCCCCAGGTGGCTCCATGTGTCCTTGCATTAGCATTAAGAAACTCTTCTAGCTTTTCCTGTTTTGTTAGTTTTGAAGGGAATCTATCATTACCGGACATATTTTTGATTTTTGCCCAAGAGACTTCAGCAAATGGAGATGTAAAGTGGGCAGCCACCCTAAGACAAGAAAAAACACTGGGTACGGAAACCAGAAGTAAAGGGCAAAACATTGGAGTACGTTCTGGGTATACAATCCTGCCGTTTTTTTGCAAACAAGGACACAGGTTGGGAAGGAGTGGACTTGAGCATGCAGCTTACTTAGACTATCTCACTGGTTTCCCAGACGCATGTCTCTGACCATTTCCGCGTATGCAGGAAGACTCTGCAAAAGGAAACCAAAAGGGGAGAGGCATGATTTTTGTTTTGCCAGACCTTCCTAAATAAAGTGCCCAGTGCCAGTGGTCATTTGTCCATGTGTAATCTGAGAAAGTTCTACGGTCCTAGTTTCGTACAAGTAAAATCACCAGTTGTAGCGGCAAGTTTGACTTGGGGAACAACAGCGATCACAATGATAGGTCTCTTGGATAGGCGTCCCTGCATGGTCCGAGGAGTCGCTGATTTATGATTGAAACTTGAATTCATAAACAGTCAGGTCTCTGACGCCATGAAAGTTGATGTTCACTTGCCCGGCGGAAGCGGCTGCTCCATCGAAGTCTCACCAGAGACGCCCCTCAGCGAGCTGAGAGCTGCAGCGCAGCAGCATTTCCAGCGCCGCTTGGAGCTTACTGCGAACGGCCAGCACCTTGATTCGACGGCCACGGCAAGCCAGGCCGGCCTGCAAGATGGGGACATTGTGGAAGCAGTTACGCAGCTTGTCATGCTGGCTGCCACTGAAAAGGCATTTGCTTCGCATATCCAGAGGGGCGAGGTTGTGACTTGGGGTGATCCAAACAGTGGCGGATACAGCAGCCAGGTGCAAGAGCAGCTGGTGAATGTCCAGCAAATCCAAGCAACTAGATGTGCGTTTGCCGCCATTCTGCAATCTGGAGCTGTTGTGACATGGGGTGGTCCGGACCATGGTGGAGACAGCAGCCAGGTGCATGAGCAGCTGCACAATGTCCAGCACATCCAAGCCAATAACGATGCGTTTGCTGCTATTCTGCAAACTGGAGCTGTCGTGGCATGGGGCAATAGGTTTTTCGGCGGAGACATCAGCGAGGTGCAAGACCAGCTGGTGAAGGTTCAGAGTATCCAAGCAACCAACTTTGCGTTTGCTGCAATTCTTGAATCTGGAGCTGCTGTGGCATGGGGTAGTCCCAACCAGGGTGGAGACAGCAGCCAGGTGCAGGCGCTGCTGGTGAATGTTCAGAACATTCAAGCAACTGCCCATGCTTTTGCTGCCATTCTGCAATCTGGAGCTGTTGTGACGTGGGGCAATAGCTGTTTCGGCGGAGACAGCAGCGAGGTGCAAGACCAGCTGGTGAAGGTGCAGAGTATCCAAGCAACCAAGTTTGCGTTTGCTGCAATTCTTGAATCTGGAGCAGTTGTGACATGGGGTCATCCGGACCATGGTGGAGACAGCAACCAGGTGCAGGCGCAGCTGAGGAATGTCCAGCAAATCCAAGCTACTAGGTCTGCGTTTGCTGCCATTCTGCACTGTGGAGCTGTCGTGACATGGGGTGATCCTGAGTTTGGCGGAGACCGCAGCCTGGTGCAACAGCAGCTGAGGAACGTCCAGCACATCCAAGCTACTAATAGTGCGTTTGCTGCCATTCTGGAGTCAGGAGCTGTTGTGGCATGGGGCAACCCGAACCAGGGTGGAGACATCAGCCAGGTGCAGGCTTTGCTGGTGAATGTTCAGCAGATTCAAGCAACTGCCCGTGCTTTTGCTGCCATTGTGGAATTTGAAGCAGTTGTGACATGGGGTGATCCTGATTTTGGCGGAGACAGCAGCGAGGTGCAACAGCAGCTGAGGAATGTTCAGCAAATCCGAGCAACGAAAGCGTCTCCACCGCTTGGGCGTAGAAAGGCTGAGGTCGGTTTCAGTCGTGCTGGCGCTGCATTTGCTGCCGTTCTTCACAGCGGTGCAGTGGTGACTTGGGGCGATTCAAAAACTTCACAGAGGTCGAGAGAGAGCTTGGCAAGATGTGAGATCGGCGACTGACGACACGTTTGAGCACGTGTGTGTTGGGTGAAACTCACTCAAAAATCACACACATGCACACACACACACACGCTTGAGGCCCGAAGCTGCATCGGAAGGTTTGCGTGAAGGAATCAGCGAGTTTCCCACAAATGTTCAGCCCTTTCCATCCACCATCGCTGGATGCAGCTGGTTTTTGTTGGTCTTGGTTTCGTCCCGCATTCATGGACTCAGTGGATTCCAGTTTTCCAGTACAGGCAACTCATCGAAACTTGCCTTTTCTCTTTTGAAAGGTGGTTTCCTTGGTTAGCTACTCGCTTCCTGAGTTCTTGGACTTCATGTTTGTTGGGAAGACATAGTGGTACTCAACAGTTCAGACTTTTTGTTGGCCCAACTCGGGACGTGAGACAAAACGCACTGAGATCATTGGGATTCATGGTGGACGATCCCCAAGCCCATTGGCAGAATCGGCACCCAAAATATACCCAATTCATGGCTCACGATGCCCAGTCGAGATTCATTTGCCATGGGAAATGCTATGGTTTCCAGAACCTACAAGAGCAAGCCGCAAGGATCCCGCCCACGGCGCTCGGGCTGTTTCACCCCAAGCGCGTCGGGGTGAGGAAAGTTTTGGCTGCAAGGTATGTCGAAAGTGCTTAGAAACCCTTGTTGCAACTGTATTCCGGACACTTGCCATGACTTTAAGTGCGAACTTGGAACCGATGGACCATCTCTCTGTGCCCGCCGGGCCCTGAGGGCTAAAGACATGCGAGGGTCATCTACGCGGTTTACTTCTGGATGTTGATTCAGGCTTGCTAGTTGTAGGTGTGAACCATAGGAGTTCATTATAGGCAGATGTATAGGCAACAAACCATGCACAATGGGAGCCGTTTTTGTGTCGAGGAAAAGACCGCTTCTGAATAGCGGCACCACAGGTTATGAGCCCAAACCCCTAAAACAGGGGCCCTCGCTCGGCAATGGAACCGACAAGGGCATCAGGAAGTGGAGAACCTCGAGAAAGGCTCGATTCTGCCGATGGAGAAGAACCGGAGGTGGAGAGCCTGGAGATCATAGGGCAGGAAATGGTGCCCTATGCTGGAGGCAGAAGGCCTCCGAGGAGGATGGTGGAGGTGGTGAGGCCGCTTGAGCTCACGGCAACACCGCTCAAGCCAGGCCAGGGCGAGGAGGAACTCGATCCGGAGCCTCCACGCAGGTGGCCAAATGGACCGGAAGGAGAGCCAGAAGCCATGAAGCCTCTGTTCACCCCGGAGCAGCTCAGAGAGTTCAACAAGTGGGACGAGAAAGCACCGTTGCTGAGGGGACCGCGGATGGACCAACCGAGGCCGGCGCACTTGCCCGTGGAGAGTAACCTGGAGGGAGACATTTGGGGTGGTGGCCAACTTCGACCGAGGTACCTACCCATGGAGAATCCGGAGCCGGAGGGCCAGATGATGAAGATGATGGCGGCGTCTCCGGCATGGGGAGTGGACCCGGTCTACCTCATGCAGATGATGCAGGAGCTGATGACGCGGAATCAGAGGCTTCAGCATGAGGTGGAAGTGCTGAAGAAGCAAGGAAAGGAGACGGACGCTGACTACGGCACGCCGGAGAGCCGGGAAAAGGTGAACGGCATGAGCACGGTCAGGGACAATCAGAACCACGAGCCCTACGGCCCGACCCGCGACCACTCGAATGGCAAGGGCGGAGAAGGCGGACTTGGAGCTGGTGGTGAAAAAGGAAATGCTCGATGAGCAGGATGGCGGTGCCTCGGAAAGGGCAAGTGATGTGGCTGGATCCGGAAAGGATGGCCATCGAATGGACGTAATGCTGAAGCTCATGGAGGGCATGCAGATGATGCAGAAGCAGCTCTTGGAGCAGAAGGAGAAGAAGGAGACCATCGAGACGGTCAAGGCGGGCTTCGCGGAGTTGCCTCGCCTGGGCGAATTTAGCCCGGAGAATGGTCCGATAGATTTAGGGGACTGGTTCACCAAAAACCATCCCCTGATGTCGGACCTGAGTGACAGCTCGATGGAATGGTGGGACCTACTCTTAAAGGAGGCCCGCGAGTGGTACGAGGAGTACATGAAGGAGATCCCGCTGAACAGGGTCAACATGGTGCCCAAGACGCCGGAGGTGTTGGGGCTAAGGAAATGGAGTCGGTTGGAAAGGCGGGCAGCTTCGCTCATCATCCAGGCGGTTCCGGAGACGGCGAGAGACAAGATGATCGCCACGAATACGGTGTCGGCCTACGGGGCGATCTGCAGGCTTCTGGTAGTGTATCAACCAGGAGGTCTTGGAGGCGCTCAAGAGTTTGAGAAAGTGGCTGAGGTGGAGGCGGCGGGCGAGCGAGATGAACTTGGCGTTGCCAGACCCCACGGTGATGATGAGGGGCCTCAGCAAGATGATTCGGAAAGTGGTGGAGACGAACCGGGAGCTGACGTTCCGGATTTCCCTTGCCCGGAACACGCTGCGGGTGGACAGCGTGCCGACGCATGGAACGGTGCAGCAGTTCGCGGAGCATGTCTTGGCCGAACTGGAACAGAGCAACCAGGGGGGTGAGAGAAAGGTGACAAAACCCGTGGACGCTAAGATCCGGAAGGTCGAGACAGAGAAGGAGCAGGGGACGGGACGTAGAGACCTAGTTTGCAAGTTCTACAGGAAGGACACCGGCTGCAGAAAGGGCCGGAGTTGTGAGTGGCAGCACCCCACG